GTGATCGTGGATTTGAATCCCTTTTGAGGCATGGATGTCTGTGTACGTTTGTTCTGTTTGTGCTGTCCTGTGTGTAGGCAGCGGCGTTGTGACGGGCTGATACCCCGTTCAAGGAGTCCCACCGACTGTGTAGAAAGATCAAGAAACCGAAAAGTGGCCAAGGTCCAACAAAGAGTTATACAGCCATAGATAAATGTTAGCAAGTAAATATACGTAAATTGTTAAGATTGTATGGTATATACTGTCTTCAGTGGGGCTTGATATAGAATTAAGCCGAGGGCACGAGTAATAGAATCTATGTTTGGTGTCACAACTCAATAAAAATTCATTCGTTCACTTATTGTCTTCGTAACGCGTCAGAGACTGTACACTTTGAAAGTGACAGAACGAGAGTGTAGCATTTGAATCAGACTGTCTTCCCATTTCCAATCTGCTTCGCTCCGAAATTCCGTTGCATTCGTTTTGGGCCTACATCTCGTAATTTCCACGTATTCAGGAAGTACCGTGTTTAAATATCAAGGCTCTTCTATTAGTGAATTTTTTTGGATCGTTATTTCCGGTACCAAGGGGAAACATGGAAATTAACGGCAGCAGGAAAATTGTGGGCTAATACTTCCAAAGAGGTCATTATCACTTCCGATTTAATCATTCATAATGATTTCCCCATGAGACACAATATAACATGTAGCTGAGAAAGCGTCGTTAAAATATAACAAACTCAAGAAGTAAGATACACGATTTCTGATCATAAAATTTTTTTCCTGAGATATAATTTGAACAGTGAAGTAACGGGGTTTCAGGCCGCGCCATAGCTCAAGCGGTTAGTCACTGGCTTCCCACCGCGGCGGCCCGGGTTCGAGCCCGTGTCTGGACATGTGGGATTTGTAGTGGACAATGTGGCACTGGGGCGGGTTTCCCCTGCTAATCTTCATTTCACCAAATTCTCCATCATCATAATCACCCGGGGCAGGTACAATAGGCCAATCAGGGGCCGCCGTGCCGAGTGGACCAGCTAGACTCCACCCCCCACTAATCGAAAAAGAAGAAACGCTGTTATTCAGATTAATCGGACTTAGAGGAGTTTTTGTGCTGACTACGTGCAACGTCGTTCACTATTCTTTCTTCGTATTCCTTTGTTGGACACAGCATGTTTCGGCCTAACTGGCCATATTCAGGTGTACAGGTTGTTATGGTTAAGGATTCTGCTGTTCACTGTAATTTGGTTACTTCTTTCCTCCTACTGTAGTTGCCTCTGTTTATTTAGGTTATGTGGGTTATCATCACACAAGGATACCTAAACAAAGGCTACCTTCCCGCTTGTAGCATAGTGCCTAAACCAACTACGCTACCGCGTGCCCCGAAATAATCCTTATTTAGAGATGTTTTTTAAAACCTGTATTTTGTTCTTTCATCAGTATTGAATGCTGTCATGTTAAGAACCGACTGTGAGTGCGGGGATACGATTTTCAATAAAGAAAATTACTCTCAAATGAATTTCTGCCTGGTAAATTGGTTTGGAGGAACGGTAATCTATAACAGTAGCATGCGTCATTCCATAGAATCATAATACAGAAAACCTGTTTTTTTCATATCGCTGAATAAATAGAATAGCGAGTTCCGCAAGACATATTTAACCAGTCAAAATCCTTAAAAGGGGTGACCGGCCTCTCACGTAGAAATGTGGCATAAACATTTGTCAGCTACGTGAGCGACAGAGCAAACCCTTTCTCGGCTTTGAGGTTTGATCTGCGTCTACATTCACATATGTGGACCAGAATGGAAAGTAGTAACACATGCATGATTATCAAAATTATGATGAGGAAAATGTTGACCATTCTGATGGTGGCGGTGGTGATAATATTTGAGACAGAAGAGAAATCATATAAAATTTTGGTGAGAAATCCTGAACAGGAAAGATCGTTTTGTTAATCTCGGATGTAGATTTGAGACTGATATTAAAACGAATCTTAAGTAACTAGGGCGTGAGTTTGTGGATTTGACTCAAGTGGCACAAAATATGATTTGGTGGCTAATTCTTGTGGACACGGTAAAATGCTTCCATAAAAGTACAGGGAATTTCTTGGCCAGCTGATCGCTTGTTGTTTCTCAGAATTTTCACTGACCTTTGGAGTTAAATATTTTGTCCCTTTTTGCCATCTTATATTTCCCAATTTCAAAATCGTCCGATCTTCTGTTTTTCATTGCTTCTGTCTGGTGTTCCATACAGTAATTAATCATTTGCAGCGGTTTCCTATTCTGACATGTTTCATGGTTTTCTCGGGAGTTCCTTCTGCGACAGATATTTTTAAAATGCAAGTTGTCCCTAACATATGTCTAACTTTCTGCTCGCCCATAAGATATGGATTTTGATTTTAAATCACAGACACCAAAAATAATGTTAAGTACTCGGACATATTACTATTAGATAAATATTATCTTTCATCCGTTTTATTGCAGTTCTCAGTGAGTCAAATGCTTTCATCTCTCACGTGTTCTCAGTTTCTCCGTTTCTGGTCTGGTTCAGGTCCAAAGGAAGAAAGTCCCATATTTTAGCTATGAATAATAATATTCACTGAAAAACAAAAATGAGTTATGAAGTAAGCTCTAGCTCTCATCGGTATAATTTTGCTGTCACTAAAAATTTCGAGATCCTAATACTGGCAGGGCCAGCGTTTAAATCTGGAACAAATGGCCACAAGCAGTGAGCCAGATATCCTATAAAGGAACGTTTTCTATAAACATAATCCATATATTTTACAAGTTCCTATCAGATACCAAAACAGCTAAACCTTGTAAGATTTGNTTTTACCGGTTCTCACGGTCTCTCCGCTTGCAGAATTCTTATATTTTTCTTCTACCCTGAAGATGGAGGCGATACGTTCCTCCGAAACGTCGGTTAACACCACATATACACGGTGCCAAATCCCAGAAGACTGCTTTCTTCACAGCTAAACCTTGTCTAGATTAACAATATTACGCATATAGAATTGTGTTGTATAACTAACTTAATGAAGTTGAGCCCTTCTTGAGAAGCAGCCAGTTGTGCAGCGACTCAAGAATTTCCCAGCATTTTATTGAACTCGTTTGTTCATTGCCATGTTCACAGGAGCTCTCCAATAGTCCCTATCCGGAACCAGTTTAATCCAGTCCACACCACCCCGTTTTATCTCTCTAAGATCCATTTTAACATTCCACCCATCTACGTCTCGGTCTTCCTAGTAGTTCCTTTCCTTCTGGCTTTTCCTCCAATATCCTGTACACATTCAGCTTCTCCTCGAGTTGTGTTACGATTCTGTCAAATCCTTGAGATAAATGTATATAAATATCGGTGATTGAAGTGCCCGTCGCTGAAGAGTTTCGTATTGTACTCAGACACTCAGGGGAACCTCAGATCAGTATCATTCATTGGTGTGGTTTTAAAGCACGTGATTAAGCTGATAACATAAAGAATACGTACGAACGTTATAATGTGTTACATAGTGATATTATCCCGAAATTCGTCTGGTACAGCTGAAATAATTTACCGAAAGCCTGATTTAGCATGTCTCTCTCTGTTCAATATGATCACATGGAAGTTGCCTGAGGTTATGATCCCTGCACGAGCTAGTCGCAGGTAATATTAGTTCTAACGGTAAGTGGAGGCCGCGTCATAGCTCAAGAGGTTAGTCACTGGCTTCCCACCCCGGTGAACCGGGTTCGAGCCCGGATCTGCATATGTGGAATTTGTGGTGGACAAAGTGGCGCTGGGGTAGGTTTTCTCCGAGTACTTCGGTTTCCCTTGCCAATCTTCATTCCACCAAATTCTCCATCATCATAATCACCCGGGGCAGGTACAATAGACCATTCAGTGGCCGCCGTGCCGAATGGACCCAGCTGGACTCCACCACCCACTATCCGAATTAAAAAAAAGGTACGAAGATCATCCAACAGTAACTTTGTCGCCATTTTCATGAGCAATGCTTATTTAGAAGACGTTTTTAAAACTTATTCTTTTTCCAATACTGGATATTATAAAAATACTGTCAAACAATATGGATCTGTGAATATGCAGAACACGCAGCTCATCATTACATTAAACGAACCAAATAATTATAATCCGGCTTGTTATGGAGTCTCCAGTTTTGTTCTCTTTTTGCTGATTCTCTGACCCGATAAACCGCTGATTTAATCTTGAGACAGTGAAGAATTTCCTTGGATTAGGGTTTGACCACACACAAGGCAAACAGAAACGTAGGCGGGAATCGATATCTCCAACTTAACGCATCCTAAAACTCTTCAAACTTTGTGGACATCAAACTACGCTCATTCGTATTCGGCCCTAATTTGTTTACAATACAATGTTACATATGAAAACCTGTATTTAACTTCGTAGTATATAATCTTCAAATAATCTATTTTATAAGCTTACATTCTGTTTGTGTACATCTACAATGATCATAATACACCACCAACCTTTATTTCAATAAGAAACAGCTGTATAAACATAAATATAATTTTGACTTACAAGATCATCATCAGGTTGATGTTATATATAAAAAGTGGTAATAAATTATTAAAAGAATGTTTCTACTTCATATAATAATATTTGTTTCAATATTTCACTTTACAATACAAATAAATCTAACATTAAGCTTGTACGTTTACTCTCCTTGCAATTTATATAAGTTTTCTGAACTCTTCTCGTGTAAAAGGTCCGGTTAAAAATTTCATTATAAGATCGAAACATATTGTGGAGTTGCCTTTTCTTATTGAAATAAAGGTTCTGTGTTGACGGTGTGCTGTGAATATTCTTAAAATCCAGCAATATCTGGCAACATTGCGTCTTGCAAGTCTGAATCGCCAAAATGATTTATGCATACAGAGAGAGATAATAGAAACTGATGCTGGTACTATGCTTCACAAGCCAATATACCGGTTATAATTGTAAACAGATCAAAATACAGAACACTACTTTTGTGTACACATTTTCTCCTCAGTTTACATAGCAACAAATGACGTACCCTTGTTTTGAAGAGGAGGCGTGACTCTCTTGAAGCGCAAAGTGGGAACCGCGCACGCAGGTAGGCAACTAGTCAGTGTCACAGAAGTGTGGCTGTGGTTTGTGGTATATCTGAAACGGAATGAGTGTCATTTTTAAGCCGCTACAGATTTTATACCGTGGAGAAAGTCAAAGGAACAGTCATTTCCCGCGCCTGGTGTTGGTCCTTGCTGCTGATTGGCTCGGTAGTTGGAAAGCCCCCGTTGCCACGATTCGCAATCCTGCAGCCAGTGTCTACACATTCAACTTCCCGCCCTTTCTCAAAAGTATTCGGGCCCTCTGGAACGACAAAATTTAAGTTCTGTGGGATTAGGTCTTGTTTCATATACATCACTTTACTCCTACGTACAATCTGCCGATTACAGGGCCGCGCTGTCTAAGGAACGAACTCGTTTCGCCCGCTCGAACACTGGGATTGTGGGTTCAAATCCCACTGGATACATGATGTCTGTGTGCGTTTATTCTGTGTTTGTGTTGTTCTGTGTGTAGGTAGTGGCCTTGCGACGCCTGATCCCCTCCAATAAATGACTCTAGAGCCATAGATAAATATGTGTAGCGTTGAAAATTGTGTTTAAAATCTGTATTATTCTACCAGAAAGCTTCTAAAGTAAACTAAGGAAACGTAGTATGCAATAAAGTGCAATTTTACAAACAGCAAAACCTCAGGATCATGCCCCGAAGCAGCTGGTTTGATTCCATATTTAAAAGTTTGAACCTCCTTCCTTTTCATGTTGATTATTTAAAGACTCTGTCAGTATCCAGTGTATATGACATCAATGATTTTTTTTCTTGGCACTACAGCCCCAGTGGGCCTAGGCCTACCTCCATGAACTCCGTTCACTTCGGTTTTTCTAAGTCTTACACATTCGGTAGGACTCCTTGGGCGGGTGATCAGCTCATCGCAAGACCTCTACCTGTACACAAACACAGAAAAACGCGCACACAAACTAAACATCCATGCCCTGAGTGGGATTCGAACCCACGATGCTGGTTTCCAAGCGAGCGAAGACAGTTCAATGGAATTTACGAGTATTAATGTTGTAGGTATTTTTTTAATGCTAGTGGAGTGGGACTAAGTCCCTTGTACTGCAGCCACTTCTGGCCTATTGTACCAGCCCCAGATGATAGGTAAGGGTGATTATGGAGCAATTGGTGGAATGAAGATTGGCAGGGGAAACCGAAGTCCTCGGAGAAAACCTGCTCCAGCGCCACTTTGTCCACCACAAATCCCACTTGACCAGACCCGGGATCGAACCCGATCGCCGCGGTGGGAAGCCAGCGACTAACCGCTTGAGCTTTGACGCGGCCCTTTGTAGGTGCTGATGACAGTAAAGCTTAAAAGCTATGAAGATCGGGAAATCTTCGATGATAAGAAGTTCAGACAGAAGAATTCTACCTACTGTGATACAATGCCTTGTATTCCGGTGAAAGCCGACAGACAATTCAGAGGAACATATCACCTCCATCTTCAGGATCAAAGAATAATGCAAGCAATAAACCAGCATGAAACAAGAACAAGTTCTATTCTGCTTGCTGCTGAATCATACGGATTTTTTGCTGAGTATATTCTTCGACCCTGGTGATGAAGGCAACTTGTTCCTTCGAAACATCAGTTGACGTTCAACAGACTACATGGCGTTATATCTCAACTCTCACATGCAATCTCAGGCATATCCAACAGACATAACTCGGTCGATTAACAGCAAGCTAACCAGTACACCATGAAAACACAACAGATAATTACGTAAACGCTGTAACGTATCTAGCAATCAGAGAAAAAAAAAAACTTTACACAATAACAATGCTAAATTATGTATGTAACACATACATTACAATAAGCGTCATATTTTCAGTAAACAACGAAACAGATCATGTCTCATTTTATTTAAAGCATACGGCGTTTCGGAAACTGGATTCTATCTCCGTATTCAGATGTCTCGCAAGTTGTTTATGCTGTGTTTGGATGTTTTCCATATCCCATCTTTTGTTATCGCTGGCGTGCAGAGATAGGGGTTAGCTCTATCGGTTGGGCCCAACCGAGTAAAAGGGCCCATACACGTACGAGTCTGCCTTGCGAGTCCGGCTCGGCGAGCTTGACTCGGGAACCGGGCTCGGATTAATTTCACGAAACACACATGAGCTGACTCCCAACTTTGCGACCCACACACGGACGGGTTTGGCTCATTGGAACCCGAGACGAGTCGGACTCGCGAGCCAGACTCGTAAGTGTAGGGGCCCTTTAAGGTCCACCTCAAGGCGGAGACAGAATCCAGTCTTCGAAACTTGTGTGTTTAAATAGCAATACGATGATGGATAACGTCCAGAAACACAATAACTCTATTACTATAATTTCTTTAGATCTGTTCCGCTTTAAATGGGACTCGGAAATTAATTACTGATTCATAACATCCCACCGATGGACGGTATCCTAAGCCAGGTGAAGCTGTCCACACATTATTTCTATAAGATGTTAATTAATAGCAAGTCTCCAATGTGATTTTATCTGTTCAGGATTTTCAACCACGGTGGTATAGGCACTTTTATTTTCTACAGTGTTTGCGTTTGTCCCCGGCGTGGTATTCATCTGTCTACCATAAAAAGAAAGAAAGGGGAAATAAAAATTAGCGAAAGCCCAGAAAACCTGCCCAAATTCTCCTTCACCAGCCAAAAATATTGCGTGAACTTGTCTGGCCGTGAAACTAAGACTAGTTTAGTCTGTTCTCCTGCAGTAATTTCCGTCCTTCAACGCAACACTAGTTTTGAAATGCATATTAAGCTCTATGAAGCAATGCTTCAATGAATTTGCTAGTGTAGTTTCGTTGTAGCAGAAACCCTACTGCTATGGAAGGTGGCGTCTTTGAAGCATAAACAGAATTTAAACGCAGAAAAGTGTAGTTAAATAGAAATAAACAAATTTACCTCAAGCACCGGAAATATAGTACTGCTGTAAGGATTACTGTGGTGTTTATTCTTTGTGGAATATTGTTTAGACTGCAAAAAATTGCTCGAAAATTCATCCTGAAACAAATTCAATCACTACTCACCATACGCCATCCACACTCGGAATGTTACTATTAAACTGAACCCTTCAAGATGCGATGTAAGCAGTTGTCTGAAAATGAAGTTCCATATCACATTTATAACAATTTAATAATTTCATATGTATCGAGAGGATATTGGTGGGAAAGCCAGAAGGAAAGAGACCATTGGGAAGACTAAGGCGTAGTTGGGTGGACAATATTATAATGAATCTTAGAGAGCTAGGATGGGATGGTATGGATTGGATTGATCTGGCTCAGGATAGGGGCCAGTGGAGGGCTCTTGTGAACACGGTAATGAACATTCGGGTTCCATAAAATGCTGGGACATTCTTGAGGAGATGCAGATTTGGCGGCTCCTCAAGAAGGGCTCAGCTCCATGATAAAGTAAGTAAGTGTATATCGGGAACGGTTACACTCGGTTTTAAAAATTTGTACATAATGTATGGTTTATAGGAATAGCCAAATTTTCTTTCCTCAATCCGTAATTTACATTATGTATATATTTTCTTAGATCTAGTCAGTTTCGTCGGGCACTAGTCATTTTCTGAGACATACTTGAGACACTCGTTGAGAATTGGGTATATGTTTTACGGCATTATGACAGACTGCGCCTACTTTTCCTCCAGTTCGACATTTCAGTGTCCTGAATTCTGCCATTCTCTTTATTTTACCAACATAAGTAAAAGACGCGTCATATATAAAGTAGAACAGATCGAAGACTGCCATCTTTTGTCTTATAATGCTTTACAATTATATCTCACAATCAGAATGATAAAGTCGAGGAATGTGAGATGGGCAGGGCATGTAGTATGCATGGGGACAAGGGAAAGGCATGAGAAAACAAGAAGTAAAGAGACCACTAGGAAGACTTAGACGTAGGTGGCGTTATGATATTAACTTGAATTTTAGATAAATAGTTAAGCATGGTATGGACTGGACTGATCAGGGTCAGGATAGGCACTAATGGCGGGCGTTTGTGAACACGACAATGAACATTAGGGCCCCATGAATTTTGGGGAAATTCTTGAATGACTGGGTAACTGTTGGCTTCTCAAGAAGGACTCAACTCCATGGAGTTTGATTAGTTTGTACTTATTTCCCAGATGACAGAACTCTTCGTAACTACCTCTGAGAAAAACCTCAAATTCTATAGTGAAACAAATTAATTTTCTCAATTACTAATTAGCCGATAACTCACTACAAGACACTCGCGGTTTTTGAAACATTCCAACGCGTGTTTACGCGTTCGAATCCTCCTCTGGACTTGCACGTAACTGCTATTTTCTTTTTGTTGTGTGCAACAGAGATCTTTCGCCTGACAAGTGTTCTATCTGCTGGGAGGAAATTCTGCTAAAAATTTTTTACGTATTTCTAATTCCGAATTAATTCAAACTCGGGAAGCATCATAAAATTAAAGAAGGAAAAGAAAGAATAGTAAACCTTCAACAAAGACTCCCGTTAAAATAATAGCAAGTTCACTTTATGTACGTGTAGTTTTTGCATTTAAGAAATCGTATAGTTCGTCGCTGTACGTTACTCTTCTGTCATTTTTCATATCCGACAGGTCCCGCAGGCAATGGTGTGGCGAATGATACTCCTGTTTTATATTAGGATGTTTCCAGATGTGTACATAGGCCAAGAGATAATATGTAATATATATACGATTTTAATGTTTTATAAGGAATGTGGCTGTATCAGTAAGATCTGTTTCAAGAGAACCTGAGCGAATATCGGACACTTTCTCTGGTGTTTATTAAAGTACCAGGTCTGTACACTTAAACGTTATATTGTGTTGTGGTAAAAAGTGAACTACATAAAAATTCCGCCTTTCTTTATTCTTATAATTCATAAGAACGCAGTTTGGGAGGATTTAGCCTTACCTGTAAACCACTTTCATTGTATCTTGTTAAGCGAATAAACAAACACCGATCTCCGATGTTCACCAGAGGATGTGGACACTAAGACCTTGGAAAGCGACTTCTGATTTCCGGAGCACATTGTCCCATTAACACTCCTGTGGCGTGATAGAGA